GACCCAGGGACTGATCGGAAACCACAAGTCCAGCTGGGACTCTGCAACGGCCCAGACAGAACAAGAGTAGGCACTGAGAAGGATCCAGGAAACAAGCAGTCTAGAAAATACACCTCTCAGATAGTCAGCCCTTTATAGACAGTTCTAAGTTAGTCGTACCTAAGAAAACGGAGGTGAAGGCTTCTGGCGCCGGAAAAAGAAACTGACAGAGATAAGCCTGACACTCACCATTTGCGAAGCACAGATAATAGATTCATTATCTTGCACCCCCACCCCTGACTTCTTAACAGTATGGGTTTGATTGTCCTCTTGCCTACAGGTAATTCTCCATCAAAATTAGATCTGTCAGCTGTTCTCAGTTTTATAAACTACGCAGGCAGCGGGAGAGAGGAGGTCGGGTGGAGGCTGGCGCTGGGTGGGCGGGAGGTGATCTTTCCCAAGGCGGCGAGGATGCTCATCCAGAGTTTCTGTGAACCAAGGGCTTGGAAATATGCCTGCATTCACGGTCCCATAGTGACATCAGGTGGTCAGCTCCCAAACAACAGCCTAGCGAGGGAGGAACCAGCTCCAGAAAGCGTTTAAATGTGACTCCGGCCAAGAATCGCAGGATAAATGTATTTTTCCAGCACTTGCACATTTGCTAGATTTTCAAAGGGTCTTTGATAATGATTCTTCCAAACATGTCATCATAATAGCTAGTGGTAAGTACCAATTTAGAAGTAAGCTTTTAGAACTGGAAATTTAAAACCTTTCAGTGGCAACAAATATGATTAATAAGGCCAAATAAAGTACCCGAATTTTAAAGATCATGAATGGATTTTAATCTTCAAATATAAGGTGGAAACTAAGCACAGCTTGAGCTGGGTTTGCAGACAATGTTAAAACGTGAAGTGACTCCTTTTGGAGAGTTACAGCCATGCCAAGGCCCAGCGTGAAAATAAACGATTCAGGGATGTGGCCATAAGAAAATATAGTCAAGTCGGTCTCAGTTAGACTTCTTTTATTGGGTTACCAGAGGTATTTTGGTAGGAATTTTTTTTAGCATTTTTAGCATGATGCTGCTTGTTCCTTAACGCTGTGGTTTGCATTTTTTTTTTTCTTGAAACAATCCAGAAGACTCTGTGATTGGAGCAGAATGAGAAGTGGGGGGTTGAGGTGGGGGTGGGAAATGGCTCTGAGCACCTTGCCTCTAACTCACAGTGGGGAGCAGAGGGGAGGTGAAGAAATACTCTTGGGATCCACAGAGCACAGTTTGAAAGCAACCTAATAGCGCTCTGAAGGGGAGAAATCAGATGACCAAGAATTAAATGAGCTAACCCAGGCACTCGGGAAGGGATTTCCTTCTTAATTCAAGTAAACTCCTTTCAAAGGTAAAGGAAATATATTGGTCAAGAAAGACCAAGAAGATTGATTAAAACTGAAGAAGGCTTAAGCATTTAGACACCGGAGTTAGATACTGGATATTGGAATGTATTCTCATAAAAACACAGCCAATTTTTCAGTAATTCGAGTTGGTTTTCTTCTGCGTGGAGAAGCTGTTACTCGTGACTACGGCCCACAGTGGCGAAGACTTCTCGCTCACCGTCCAGATCAGCAGCAGGTCAGCAGTTGCGCTGTGTGTCTTGTTTGTTCAGATGGGGTCACAGTCATCTCGTGGTAAAGTAAACGGCTAAGACCAAACCATTCCATGGCTCCGGAAGCTTCTGCTCACACTTTATTGACCAACATAAGCCAAACATCCACGCCTGACATTCGTGGGATGAGGAGGAATAAACCTGTCCGAGGGAGACACTACAAGCCACGTGGCTACAGCCAGGGGTGTGTGATGCTCTTAGAGAGAAGACAAAAAACAATTAAGAGCAACAGCACAATCTATCACTTCACTCAACTCCCAGTGACTGGCACAATATCTTGTACAAAGTAGATGCTCAGTAAATGCTTTGAATTGGGATGCGAATGACTTAATGCTGACAGTGACTTCATACTAAATGTAGATCAATTCATCTTTTCTGGTACAGAGTGTTAGTCCTTGGAACATTACATGGTAACTTCCCCTTTTCTACGTCAAATATCCTGTTAGGAATGGAGTCTCATAAATACAACCTTGAGCAAAAAGAAGCCGGATGCCAAAATATACTAACAAGTGAATGGATAAAGAAACTGCGCTGTATCCATCCAGCAGACCACTGTTGTTCAAAAGACACTGCCATTGATACACACAGCAGCATGGATGAGTCTCAAAATAATTATGGGGAGTGAAAGACCAAAGAGAAGTACATTCTGTGTGATTCCATTTACATAAAATTCTAGAAAATGCAAATTAATCTGTGGTGGCAGAAAGTGGTGGCCTGGGGAGAGTGGGAGAGGATAAAGGAACTTTGGGGGCAGTGGATATGTTCATTATCTTGATTGTTGGGATGGTGTCATGGGTGTATTCATATGTCAAAACCCATCAAATTGTACACTCCAAATATACAGATTTATTGTATGTCAACTGTGCCTCAATAAAACTTTGAAAATGCTTTTCAAAGAGTGCTTACCACAGGATTATATTTACATGACACTCAACAGCAGGCAAGACTAGTTCATGGTGGCTACGCTGGGGCTAGGTCCTGGCTGGAGGGACTACAAACGGATGCGGTGACGTCACCCTTGAGCTGGATGCTAGTTACACAGGTGTGTCTATTGGTGAAACTCCCTTGCGCTGGATGTTTCTGACAGGTGCACTTTTCTGTAGGCAAGTTACACTGCAACAGCTTTTAAATGTGCTGCAATGTTTTAAATACCAACCATCTTAAAAATATTAAAGAAAGCCGTCCTTCTACATAATGTATGACAGAAAAATAATCATTGTGTGATCGCCTTCCTTGATCACCTAGTTATGAAATTCGAGGGCTGTGAGTGGATTTTTTTCCTCCAGGTCCCCATGACTGAGGACAGAGCACATAGACTCATAGGCTGTAGACACTGGGAGTCAGCAGTCACCAGGATGATGGGTGCGTGCGTGGACACACCGACCAGGGTGCCAGTGCCGGTCCCCAGAAATGTGCCAATGCTGAGATTCTGCTCTCGTTTGTGTCTCTAACTTTAATTACTGTTATCTGCACTCCCTTCTTATGCAGGGACAGAGGGAGATGCCACATATACACACGAATGGTGTGCTTGCACCCAAAACAACACAAAACGCAAGCAAGCTATGTCAAACTCCCACCAGCGGGATAATGCTACCGCAGACAGCTGAGCCAAGAGCAGAAACAAACATTCCTAGACGTTTTTAGAAACCCATCATTTTCACCATTTAATATATTTTTAACAGAAAACCTTATTCCCACTGATTGATTACATTAATGAATAAATACAATGTACAGTCAATGGTTTGATGGTTGAAAGGACTTAAATTTCCCTTGCCAAGAATGGTCGTAAATAAAAATAAATAGAAGGTCTGTCATTTTCAACAACCCTCCCCCCAAATAAAAGATAAAATCAGTCTGAGTTTCAAATGACTCTGATCTTGGTGTTCCTTTTATAAACTACTACCTGGTCCCCACAAATACTCCTATGGAGTAAAAAAACAAATTACAGTGTCTCAAAGTGTGCACTGAAGTAATTTTAAAAGGAAATTTTTCAAAATGCCATTGATCTCTTGTGAAAACTACTACTCTCTTCTCATGCATAAAACTTGAAGATTCCCCACTAGGCTCCATCTGATAAAAGAAAAATGAAAATAACCATAACCACTGATGATCATCACTTAAAATGTGAAAAAGACAAAAAGAAAGAATTGAAAATCCAATTTCACACCAAATAGCCCCTACTGACCAGGTGCTGTGCTACAGACGACATAGATAAATGAAAGCCCGATGTTGGTACCCGGAAGTGGGGAGCTGCCCTGACAGACTCCTAGAACTTACGCCAGCTGTCACGATCGAGGGGCTGGTGGAAGCCCCGAAGGCCTCTGAGATACCGTTAGCAGAACCCTGACCATGGCCGCAAGGAGGCTGTTGGTGAGAACTCAAAGGAAAAGTGGAATGAAAGCTAGAGGAAAGGTGATCCCTGTGATGCTGGAGCAGAAAATTTAGTCACACTGTCACCATGGGAACATGGAAATAGCAAACGTATGTCTGAAAGGGATAATCTGGCTAACGGGACTTCCAAGCGGGGTCCTGAAGACGCTGCCTGCCTCTATTTGCCGTTATAGAAAATGTGAGTAGAGAAATGAACTCAATAAACTCAACAACTGCTGGATATAAAGGAACTGGGACTTTCTAGGTTCAAAAATAAAACTCTTTCCATGCCCAGCCTTTCCAGGTAGCCAACAGTTCTAAAATTAAGAAATACCTTCTGGACGAAGATCAAATCCAAGGCATGTCAGGAAAACATAGTCTAATGATGAAGCCAAGGATGTGACTGTAAAACCTTTTGCTAAGATCTCAGAAGACAGCATCCATTTCTAACAGAAAAAAAAAAAAAACCCGAAGCAAAACAAAACAAACCAACCTAAGGATCTAAAAGCAGTTTGTCCCTCGGCTTCCTTACAGGGAAGCTAAGCAGCAGAAGGTTTACTCAAGAAACCTCACTTGTTTCTTTTAGCTAATGGAATGGATTAAAAATCAATTCACACACACAAAAAGCACCCTGTATTCTTGAAGGAATCGTGTTAGCTTAAGCCGAGAGGATGGACAGGACAATGGGAAACGGCGCCTTTGAATGCTAAAGTTCTCGTGGTTAGAAAACAGACTGAGAAAGTACTCAGACAGGGGCCGCACGCTATAGAAAAGGAAGGCTGTTTCAGAAGGTGGAGCCAAGAGCCGCAGTGAAGCCTCCCCAGGCACTAGGCCTGAGCCCAGATCGTGGAACGGGCAACACGTGCCCAACTGGACATCACAATTGTCACAAACCTGTACCTGCTGCGTGCCTTCACCTGTATTGAATGGAAATGCCTATAATGGTTACTTCATGCCTACCCCATCATTGGATGTTGAATAAGGAGGCCCAGGTAATTTATTGCTGAAGTTCACAAGTCTTTCAGTTAAAAGGAACAGTTTTCAAGGAGTCATTCCAGAGGAACAATGTTCAAAAATCCTCACCCTCACCTGGACCAGATTTAAATGATGGCATGCTGGACACTGACTAGAAGGCTGATGTCATCATGGGATGAGGCTTTAGGCAAGTGATTTTTCCTTCTGTTTGGCTTCCTACTTGGAATATGGATGCAATAGAGCCAGGTCACAAATTTAATTGCCTGCAAGGGTCAGGTAAGAAAGAGAAATGGGCCGTCTGCGAGATGATAAACAGTCACTACTTCCCTGCCTTGGTTTTAGGTAATACTCACAAGAGGGTGAGGTCTGTGTTGGAACCATAGAGAGGATGCCCTCCTTCCAAAGGGAGCAGGAGCTACTTAACTCCAGACACCTGTCCCCAAGCAGGGAACACTGTTGAGTGTTGCCAGATTTTCCTATTCCTCAAGGTAAGCCAGAAATCTGGGGGTTTAGGTAAAATATCTTGATTTTAAATCTTGGGAACTAATTCAAGTTTTTGAAACGGTATAGATCAACACCATGCTGGATAAACAAACATATCTGTAAACTGAGGCAGATTCACTGACTGCAAATTTGTGATCTATTTGTTTCAACTGCACAGCATAATCCAGGATGAAAGTTTTTTTTTTTTATTGAAGTATAGTCAGTTTACAATGTTGTGTCAATTTCTGGTGTACAGCATGATGTTTCAGTCATACATGGATATACATATATTTCTTTTCATATTCTTTTTCAGTATAGGTTACTACAAAATATTGAATATAGTTCCCCCTGCTATATAGAAGAAACTTGTTTATCTATTTTATATATAGTAGCTAGTATCTGCAAATCTCAGACTCCCAATTTATCCATCGCAACACCCTCTCCTCACTTGTCACCATAAGATTGTTTTCTATATGTGTGACTCTCTTTCTGTTTTGTAAATAAGTTCATGTGTGTCTTTTTTTTTAGATTCTACATATAAGTGATATCACATGGTATTTTTCTTTCTTTTTCTGACTTACTTCAGTTAGTATGAAGTCCATCCATGTTGCTGCATTCTTTTTATGGCTGGTAGTATTCCACTGTGTGTGTGTACCACATTGTCTTTTTCCATTCATCTGTTGATGGACATTTAGGTTGCTTCCATGTCTTGGCTGTTGTAAATAGCGCTGCTATGAACATTGGAGTGCATGTATATTTTCGAACTGGAGTTTTCTCTGGATATATGCCCAGGAGTGGGATTGCTGGATCACAAGGTAAGTCTATTTTTAGTTTTTTAATGAATCTCCATACTGTTTTCCATATTGGCTGCACCAAACTACGTTAGGATGAAAGTTTGACCTTAGGAAATGGATGTGTATTTGCCTTAATGATGACTCACTGAACAAAATGGAGAATAAACAGGTATAGTGGCCATGCTGGTGAGTCTTGGACTTGGAACCTTTATATCTTCCTTTCATCCACGGAATTAGCCGTGTAAGGCCAACAGGTACTGTCCTCCTGAAGCCCTTCCCCCTGGAATGGTGCTCTGGACTCCAAGAAATACACTGGTTGGAGAAGAGGAACCAAAGTCAGTGATGGGGTTTTCTGGAAGGTCAATGGACAGCCACATCATGGAAATTAAAAAAAAAAAGTGGGGGAAGCACCTTTGAGAAATTGTGTAAACGTATGGGCAGGAGAAATGAGATCAGGATCTGGGAACATACATGAAAGTATCTGGGCATCCTCTTTGGGCAGGTTCTAACTTCTGGGTTAGGGACCAGTTCTTGAACTAAATGGACAGTCAATTTTGGGACATCACTTCCAGGTTTTTCCTTTTGTAATTCCCTGCAGCTGCCTTGACCCTTCAGGTGATGTGTAAGAAAGCAAAGGAAGAGGACAGAAACACATGTGGGGCCTGCCCATCCTTCCTTCTTCCACAGGAGGGAGCCATACTGATTAAGGAATTGTATCCAGCCGAGAAATGAATAGTTGTCCACACCAAAGTCGGGAGAAGAGACAGAGGGCCAGCAGCGTAGAGAACAGCTCCAGAGGGGCACAAACCAAAATCTTCTCTTTCAATTTATACGGAGAAAATGACCCTTCAAGCTTATGCTGCCCATAAAATGAAATCGTGGGGACTTCAGACATCATCCAATCCAGCAGTTTCTAAGTTCATTTTTCTCAGTAGCACCTTTCTTCTAAAGAAATTTTCTAAGTGTTGAAACTGGGTGATCAGTAACAGGGATTTATTATATTATTCTACTTGTGTGTTTGAAATATTCCATAATAACTATTTTTAAAGATTGCATTGAAATTTCATATAGGAAACAAACTGAATGCATGCAGTTTAAACTGTGCCAAACCATGCTGTCAATATTCTGCATTCTTGCTTAGAACCATTTCCAAGGAATTCTTGGCAGATGATCTGTCATTGCTTAAATATTTGTGATGACAAGGAGCACACTGATTTCGAGGTAGTCAGAGCTGGATGGCTCTGCTTGTGAGAAAATAATGTTGAAATTGAGCCAAAATATGACCCCTTAAACTTCCAGTGAAAATCACACAATTCTTCCACCAAGAAAGTATCTTTATCCTTTTTGTTTTATTCAGTGCAGTTTCAAAGAATCCCAAATAACTGGCAAAGTTTGGCATTCAGTACCACACTAATAGATGCTACAAAATCTGCTAGAGAGATGCTAAGGGCTATGTTTCAATCTTCTGGGCTAGGAAAGATGTGAACAAAATATTTAAGGAAAATTAAGATACCTACAGGCAAAACCTGACAAAGTGTTGCACAATGTGCTACATAATAGATTGAGATTTTTTTAATACCGTGGCACTCCGTATCTTCACCTACCTGTCAGCTCCACATCATTTGTTATTAACACCAGAAAGGCTGGAGAGAGCGTCAAGCTAGTGAGAACACGCAAATCAGGAGCAAAGGCAGCAAAACCTCCTTGGAGATTCTTGTTCACTGACGCTAAGGGAATTTGAAAAAATGCCCCTTGATTCGGAAGATGCTTGATACGAAATCAAACAAAACAGAGAAACACGAGTTTCAGTTGCCTAATTTAAACCAGAGACTGGGGATAAGATACGGGCAGCCAGGTCATCTGTGGAATTTCCAAG